TTTATATTTTATTAAAAAATAAAAACATTATCGTTTTTTTCAAAATCATATAAGATCACATTATAACATCGATTGAAATAAAAAATAAAACGAAATATAAAAATCAAGATGTATCTTGCTGCATTCTGCAAGTATCTTTCTAGTATATATAAGAAATAAATGTGATACACCAAACAAATTAACTGAAAATGTAATATTTATACAGTGTTATTTTATATGTGTGTTTAATAATTTTTTTGAAATTCGCACGACCATATCTTGGTCAAAAAATTGTTTAGATATAAAATTAATTAATATTTATACAATGTCTGTTTACCTTTTAATAGTTCCAATAAGAGACAGACATTGAATCGTTAAGAGGTGAATCTTGTTTGACAAAAAAAAATTGTCTCTTAATAGTTCTAAAACTCTCTGAATGATTTTGTATATTAGGTCTCTCTTAACTATTTAACACCTTAATTTTATTCCGAATAATCACCAAACAATTATATTTCATTTTACAGTATATTATAAGAACCACATAATCATTCTAATCACATAATCATTCTGCACCAAACCATTCAGAACTGTCAAACATCTCTTAAATTAATATCGATTGATTTTTTAACATGTCATTTTTAGTTATTTAGCATTTTTCAAATAGCTTATCAACTGGGTTTTTTAAACATGATTAATTCATCAACTATATTTTCGACTAATTTATGAACAACCAACTTATTTTTCAGCTAACCGTTAATAGCTAATTTATCAGCTTATTTGAAAACGAAGTCTTAGTCAACAGTCAACATGTAATAAAGAAAAAGAATATCTTTAAATTTCTTACTCAATACATTATCATTTCCATGCAATTCTTCTTAGTAAACGTTTTTTCAACTTCCACAAAGTTTTGTTTTTCTTGCTTTAATTGTCACAATTTTTCTCCATAACTTTTACTTTAAACTAAGGGACCGTTTATTAAACACTTATCCGGTAAGCATTTAACGGTAAGATTCAACACTATCATATACTTACTAGGTAAGATTTTAGTCAACTAAAACGGCTTTCTATGCAACAATTTAGCCGATAAGAGCTCACTCGTGGTAAGAGTCATTGTCCTCACTTACTAGGTAAGACACTCAGTTTTTGCCTCGCTCTTACCGGGTAAGATTCATGGTCATTGCCATATTCATCTGAAATGTAATATAACTTGGTAAGTGCTTACCCATGTAAGCATTTGGTAAACGGCCCATAAGTATTCAAAATCTTATATAAATTAGTTATTGCATTTATATGATACAGTAAAATATAATATTTTTATCTTAAACTGAATTAATTTTAATACGGATTTTTGTTAAAAATTTAATATTTAGGTATGGATAAAGTATAACCGGTGGTAGAAGATGTTTTGGTATTTGAAAACCTGCTAAAAAATTTGTATGGAGAAATTTTATACGAAGGAAAATACTGATGATTTTTTTTTGGATAAAGATAGTGGATTATTTTGTTCTTTTCAGTAACCTGCATTTGAACGTTTGTATCAATCGGTTATTAGTTAGTTTGATGAAGTTTAAATAGTTTTAAGGAATTGTATATATGGAGTTATATCTCAATTTTAATGTTTCGTTTTATTATTTATTTATATCGATATAATACGGTATTTAGTGGTTTTGAGAAAGTGAATATGTTTTTATTTTTTAATAAAATATAAATTTAAGGTTATCATAAAAGCTTGGAAAAAAATATATATCGATATTAAAATCAAATTTACTATTTAAAGTTCTCTTTTTTTTGTGTAATTTAATTTAGATTTAATTATAAAGTAATTTATTTATCATTTAATAATATTATTTTTTATGAAGATAATAATTAAATATTTTGTTATTATCAATAATTATCCTAATTATATTTTAGATTTTTTACATTCAAAGTAATATGTTTATCCCATATTTGATTATGTTTATATGTGATTAGTTACACAAATTCAAAAATGATATATTTATCCGTATTTCATAATCAAAGCAATTGTTTGTTGGTTGTGAACAAGAGAGAAATGACAATTTTGATTGACTTGCTATTTTCAATCTTGCTTGCAATTACTTGTCAAAATCTAAGATATTTTTAATATTAAAATACATATATTTATACAAAGTTGGACTTTGATGATAAAAAGAGAGTTAAGCTTAGAAAACGGGATCTCCATCCCTAGCTATACATTAAAATGAGATGCATCAGATTAATCTTCGTATCAAGCATGATTCACAAATGGATTTGAGATTAAAAGTGATCAAGGTTCCCAATCTGATAAATATATATACGAATTTCATGAGGTTTTAAAAACATAAAAAGTTATGAGAGTAGTGGCCATAAGGCCTAGTGTTTTTTTAAGACATAGTGAAACATTTTTAATCCATTAAGGTTTTAAGTATAAATTTTTTTCCATCCCTATACTAAAATTGATCCAATTTATTTGTGTTTCGCCTCTGATAGTTACATCACGAGTCCCTCCCCAAAATCTAAAAGATTTAGTGGATATATAATAATAAGTTTGAATATATAAAATGAAATTGTATGGAAGTTGGTGTAGGCCTTTTGAATTTAAAACGAAACTCCGTCCAATAATTTCAAAGTGGTCTTCCATATTGGATTTGAGTCAAGGCCTTCGATGGCTTTCACACTTAGTCCCCTCCACTAGAAATAATATACAATAATTTAAGTTATATTCTATAATATATTTCATAAAAAAAATTAAAACTATTTTTTTTTGCATGAAATACCGTTTATTGATGTATATATTACTTAAAATTTAAGATTATAAATAATTTTACGTAAGTACAACTTATTAAATCTTCATTTTTAAATTCGTGTAACTAACTGTAGATAAACATCTATTTTAAATATAAAAAATCTAAAATATAATTAATATAATCATTGAGTTCTGATAAAAAGTTTAATTATTATCTTTATAAAAAAATAATGTTATTAAACAAAAAATAAATTGTTTTGTTATTAAATCTAAATTGAATTAAAATGAAAAATTAAATTAAAAAAGTTACACAAAAAACTAGAACTATTAAATAGTTAATTTGATATTAATATCGAATTTATTTTTTTCAAATTTTAATGCTATATTCAAATTTATATTTCATTTACAAATAAAAACATTATTGTTTTCTCAGAACCACATAAAGTCGTATTATATCGATGGAGACAAAGAATATAAACTAAACATTAAAATGGAGATTTATCTCGTTGTATTGCGCGAGTACCCTTCTAGTAAATAAAAATACACCAATAAGGATAGTAATGTAATTAAGTTTTTTTAATAATTTTTATGTTATACCGGAGGATGGTGGTCGGAAGATGGGGACGGAAAGAGAAGAGAGGAAAGAGGAGAGAAAATAACTAAAATGTCATTGCATTAAAATTTTAATTAAAAATTACCAAAATTATAAATTTCTTAATTTATCTATTGATTTGTGGTTGAGATTAGATCTCACGATTACTACAAACTAGTCAGTTCTCCCTTGAATGAGTTCCTATATATATATATAGAGAGAGACTTAATCAAATGAGAACTAATTTGTTTGTGATAAGTGGTAAATGTGAGATCCAATTTCAACCACAAATCAAATGTTAAATTAAAAAATTAATAATTTTGGTAACTTTTACTTAAAATATTAATTAAGGGCATTTCAGGAGTTTTTTTAAATATCCTCTCTCATCTTTCCTCTCTCCGACGAATCTTTTCGACGAACCTTATTGGAACCTTATGTGAACACAAAATACACATTGTAATACCTACAAACGATATTCACTGTGATACCCAAATATACATACAAGATGTACAATGTGATACCATTTGTAAAACAATGAAATTAACGAAAATGCACACTATGACATTTCATAAAACAAAGAAAATACATTGTGATACACGTGAAACATTATGAACGTTATCACTATGATACACTTTAATTAGCAAACATCTTTAAAATACGATGTATATTAGGTAATTGATATACCATGTGACTAATTTTAATTAAATATTTTTTTCTAAAAAATTTAATTAAATATTTTGATTAGTTGTAAAAAATAAAATTACTATATTACCCTTTTAGTTTATTTAAGAAATATCCTTAAATATCTCAAACGAGTGGTTCACATTGAATTTCACGGTTAACACAAACTAATCGGTTCTCCCATATATATATATATATATATATATATATATATATATAGAGAGAGAGAGAGAGAGAGAGAGAGAGAGAGAGAGGAGTGATCATATGAAAACCGCCCTCATTTGTGTAAACCGTGCAAACCACCTTCATCTGTCGATTTCATTGTTTAATCTTATGAAATTTTTTCATGAAATTGCTTAATCTTGTGAAATTGTTTCATCTTGTGAAATTGTTTCATATAATACTTTTTTTGATGAAGTTGTTTCATATATGGTTGTGAAATTGTTTCATATAATACTTAATGAAACTGTTTCATGTATTTCTCTAACATTAATGAAACTGTTTCATGTATTTCTCTAAAATTAAAATAATGAAGATGATAATATCTATGATTAACACCCTCCACAATAAAAATGATTAATCAACCTCTCATAATTACAAAAAAATGAACAAAATGAAAAATTATGATTGGTTGAATGCGGTTTGCACGGTTTGTACAAATTGAGTGGTTTGCATGTGAGACCAGTCTGTTTTCGTGAGACCCAATGAGACCATATTTTTACATTTAAAAATTCACAGCAAAATATCATTCGCTTAATCCATTATATATAAAAAACCAAACCACTTCAATGTCATTACTTTATTTCATAATACATTAATTAGTTTGTGCCACACCAAATAGTTTATAAAGTAATAAACATCATAATTTTAATCCATCTGCAAACCTAACATATCCATACAAAACGTGATAAATGCTCATAGACAACAAAGCCATCTAGAGCCGATACATTTCAACCGGAAGCCTTGGATGAGCCACGGTAAGAAGTGGAATCTTTTTCGGAGTCGACAAACCAAATATTTCTTCCATGTTCAAGTCATCTTTAGTCGTTGTAGATGGTAGTTTCCAGTTAAACCCATGGAGCAAATTTGCCAAGCTCGCTTCGATCACTTTCAATCCTAGACTGTACCCTGGGCACATCCTTCGTCCTGCACCAAATGGCAACAACTCAAAGTCATGACCCTTGGCATCAATTTCCTTTCCGATGAATCTTTCTGGACAAAATTCTTCTGGTCTCTCCCACAATCGAGGGTCTCTCCCAATCGTCCAAACACTAACAAGCACACGTGTTCCTTCCGAAATGTCATAACCAGCTACTTTACAATGCTCACGAGCTCTTCTAGGAACCAACATAGGTGCCACAGGATGCAACCTCATTGTCTCTTTAGCAATTGCCTCAATGTAAGGTAGATTAGGCATGTCCTTCTCCTGAACCCACCTATCCTTGCCTATGACACGGTCAAGCTCTTCAGTTGCCTTTTGGAATATCTCAGGTTTCTTCAGAAGTTCAGCAATCGCCCATTCAACAGTGACCGCCGAACTTTCAGTTCCACCAGCAAGCAAGTCCTGTAAATATCAAATTAAAATACATGTGACATGGAGCATACAACATTATATAATCATTGTTTTTTTACACGTATCGTTTCGTATTTCTTTTCACCTAACACCTTTGTAGGAACTTGAGCAAAACGTAAAAACACTTCCTAATATAGCAAGATTATATATGTCAATTTATAAAGAGAAAATTGTTCGGACTATGATTAAAAACCGGAAAGTGGTGTAAATTAAGCCTACAAATTTCTATTTTATTTATTTTAATATCAGTGTCCATCCCAGATTTTCCATTTTATCTCTTCATCATCAAGGGTAAAAGTATCATTCATAAATTGTTTATCTACTATTACTAGGTAAGTGTTTATCGTTAATTATTAACACTTTCACTTAACTTACTCATAAAATTTTAATCTACTAAAACGACATTATATATACAACAATTTATCCTGCAAGCGCTTGCCAAATAAGAGGAATAATTACTTACACTTGTCGGGTAAGACTTTTGATCTTTATCAGTACATATTAGACTTTTGATCTTTATCATGTTCATTTGATAAAATAAAGTGATCTGATAGATATACTTACTCGGTAAATGTTTAATAAATGATATTTTGCGGTGTGTTCTCGAATATGGAGAGAGGGATCGAGTAGGAATTAACCTGTGTAAAAGCCTTGACGCCATTTCTTTCTAACTTAACATCAAGATTTGGATCATCAGCAAGCTGCAACAGCAAATCCACCATGTCCGTCGCAATGAAGCTCTCTCCGGCGGCCCTCCGCTGCTCATTATGCTCATCCAACACATGCTCCAAAAACCGATCGAATTTCTTACTCACCGTTTTCATCCTCTTCACATAACCCTGTAAATCCATGAAATCGATCCAAGGTATAGAATCTCCGATGTTAAACACGCCGTTCAACAAAAACAACTCGTCTAGCATCCTCTTAAACTCATCTGGACTTATCACCGAGTTCGACTCAACCGATTCATCCAAATACCTTTTCCCCAAAACCATCCGACTAATCACATTCAAACTCACCGTCGACAACAGATCCTTCAACAAGATCTCCACACCCGCCGAATCAAAAATCGATTTCACCAACGATCTCATCTCCTCGACTCGGATGTACTCGTACGACTCGAGGCGTTTCGCACTGAACAGCTCCATGAGACACATTTTACGAGCTTGGCGCCAGTACGGTCCGTACGGAGACCAGGTGATGTCGGCGTAATTATAGGTGGTGTATTTTCCTGCGGCGGTCTTAGGGCGGCAGGCAAAGTTGACATCCATGGTCTTGAGGAAGACCTTGGCCATCTCGACGGAGGATCCTACGACGACGTCGAAGGAACCGAACTTGAGTTGCATTATATCACCGTATTTTTGGGAGAGATCGTGGATGGAACGGTGGGGGAGGGAGCCTATGAGGTTGAGGTTGCCGATGATCGGCCAAGGTTTGGGTCCCGGCGGAGAGTTGAGTTTGCGGGAACGGCGTAGCCGGCGAGAAATGAGAATGAGAGCTAGGGCAGCTAGCCATGCGGATGCATAATAAGGCCAGTGGTGAGTAGAGTCCATTGGGAATGTGTTTAGGAGTGTAGTTGTGTGTCATGATAATTAAGGAATAAGATGGTCGTTATTTATAGTTGGACTCTGCAGGTACGACGTCGTATTTGCTACACACTAAATAAAAACTATGGGGTTCATGACTAAAATAACCCTGTACTTATAAACAATTACACCTTTAACCCTAAAATTGAAAACAGTTACAAACCAACTTCTGTTACGCACCGGCACCACACATCATACGGTGTGTGTAAGGACTTTAATGCAAATAAAATAAATCAGAGGGATCGAGGTGACTATTGACTTGACCGGTGACATGTCCTCAGGGCCCACAGTAGATCAAATTCAGAAGGTAAATTACAATAATTGTCCTCTAGGTTTATCAAACTTTATCGTTTTTTTTTGTTATTTTTTCAAAATCATAAATATGATCAAATTCAAAAGCTAAATTACAATAATTGTATTAAAGGGTTGTTTGTTTATCTCTTAAAAGTTTTATTAAGAGGCAATTTCTAAATGGTTAAGAGGTGAATATTGTTTGGCAAAAAAAAGTATGCCTCTTAATGATTTAAAAACCCTCTGAATGATTTGTATACTGGAACTCCCTTAACCATTAAGAGCCCTGATTTCATTGTATACAATCAGGGGCGGAACACAAACCTTCTAACCGTAGGGGCCGGAACTAGTATACTATATATTTCAAAGGTACCAAAAATACATTATCCAAAGTTATAACATAGTAAAACTATAAAACTAAACGTTAAATATAAACATGTCAAACATCGCAAATCAAAGTGGAACCCGTCTATCTTTCGCGACCTTGAACTCTTCCACAATTTCCT